CACACCTTGAAGGCTGATAGGTCCACATATTTTAAAGGTATTTGTGAATTTTGTCATTGATCATAAAACTGCAATTTATTAGTGATTATAGTCAGTTTTATTTATTATAAAGTAAATTTGTTGTTTTGACCATTAAAAAGTAACAATCTTGATAAACTTATGGAAAATCGTGTACTCTAGTAATCCACCATATGCAATGATTATCAATCAAAAATGGTATGCACATAGCATTATTGGACTAATGTGTTCTATTGTTCATAACTGCCATCTTGTTTTCTCCCTTTTTAGTTTGTTCATTCATTAATCAACATTTCTATCAAATCTGTTTGCCAGATATCTTTACAATATTTGTAGTCTAGAGCATTCAGGGTAAGTTGTAATGGATTATACAGTTATTTTTTTCCTCATTACCGGAACTCAAAACTACTTTTAAAATAATCATATACCGGTAATTGCCACATCATGCAATTGTGTGCAGCACAATAATCGCCACGCCCACACATACCCCAAAACATGAGAAAGAAGATAAATAAAGAAAGCATTTTCGACTCAATTTATATTATTGCTATCAAATCTGAAGGTCTTGTAATATGCATGCTCATGAAAATTGTATTTGTTCGCCAACAAAAGGGTAAGGTAAAATCCTAATACAAATGATCAAGTCCTCTGTATGTTCTAGCGCATTTCTGCTAACCCCATACACACGTTACCCTCCTCTAGAAACTGCAGTCTCAATATTTGATAAGCAAAGTCCAACAGTTTCACTTGACACGAACAGTTTTCACCATCTTTCTTCTCTCTTGCTCTCTCTCTCTCTATTTCTCTCTCTTTCTCACTTCGTCTCCGTCCTAATGAAAATTGGAATTCTTGTCACACCTTCATTTGTTTCTTTCCACGTTTAAGTTCAGTTCAGATATTTATAGCATTGGTTCACAAGGGAGATCTTAATTGTCTGTTTCATCAATCGTAAGAAGGCCTAGATATCCCAAAAAATAAATACAAAAGAATAGTGCCAAGTCGGACAGCATTGGCGTAAGAAAGTATTAAAGAAACAATGCGTCAAATGCATTGTAAGTAAATTAGTAGTATACGTGTAGGTCTGAAACTTGAACATTTTGTTCCTTCTCTGGCATATTCCTCAACTTTTATAAACCATTTGTGAGAATATATTTGAAATATTCACTTCTCCTTGAATCACTCATGAATCAGGTTTCTAAAAATGCCTTAGAAGTAAGTCCAAGTTGAAGACAGGATGAAACCGGTGAAACAAAACCTTCTTGACCCTGGTCTGTAAGGTTAGATTACTTGCATACAGAGTGAAAGAGATGAAGAGAAAGAGAGAGGGAGATAGACGGAGAGAAAGAGAGAGATAGCAAGAGAGAGAGAGAGAGAGAGAGAGAGAGGGGAAACAGGAAGTGAGATGGAGATGTCATGGTAAGCATTGGCCCTGTTGCCTTCAGCTGGTTTGAATTCATACACAAGGTGTATATGATCTTGGGATGCACACAGCACGATCTGCATGAACCCACCCACGATAACATTGTTTATGATACAGACAAAGGGGCAACAAGTTTATCGGATGCTTTCAAAATGGAATAAAACAACATCTCTCTTTCTGTCATCATCTGGAGGACAATCTTTGTGGCTGTTCCCTGATAAAATACTGAATGATCGCTACCTATGGTAGACACGAATGAAGATATACTGGTTTGTATGTCGTCCATGCAGTCATGCACAGGCACTAATCGACTTCAGCATTTGCACTGGAATCATTTGCTCCAACCTATAGGCCTAACATCATTTCATTTTGTTAAGGTGAGCTGTTTCTTGCTTGCCACTCCAACTAAGACAATCTTTGGAAAAACTAGGATGATAAATGGAAAAAAGTATTGTTGACCAACTTAAGAGGTACTGGGGGTCACCTATAAGTATGGTAGCCATAGTTCTATGAAAAAAATCACTTCATTTATCCACAAGGTTTGGTACACTATCTGCAAGGATCTGCATGTTACCAGCATATTCTATTGCTGAAACAATTGATAAAGTCAAACAAGACCGTACACTTCCTGACTAACTAGGGGTGCAGGAAAAAATGGCATTCAACATGACTTCTTCCATTCCAACTTGGAGTCTCCTACAACACGACTGCACCAGTGTCTAACCATGAACCTAATATTAGGTTCATGGTCCAACTGTGCAACGGCGCCTGTAGTTATGACAGAGCCATGACATATCTTGTCAAATTAGCATAATTTGTGATTTCAGATCATTTCGGCATGTACAGCAGCAACATCTACAGTGATGCAGAGATGTCACATTAACGGAGCTCCATCCCCAACCCCCCCCCCCCCTCCGAAAAAAAATGAATTAACATAATTTGTGATTTCATATCATTTCAGCATTTACAGCAACATGTACAGTGACGCAGAGATGTCACATTAACGGAACTCCATTCCCGTCCCATCCCCCCCAAAAAAAAAAAAATTAACATAAATTGCGATTTTAGATCATTTCAGCATGTTCATGTATACAGCAACATGTACATGCAGAGATGTCACATTAACGGAACTCCATTCCCATCCCCGAAAAAAAAAAGCAAAGCTAGCTAGCTTCCCTTCCTCTCCTCCTCCGCGCCTCCTGAGACAGTAAACCCGGGAGGAATCCTAATTTATGGCGCCATAATACCTCCCCAGGCATCCCTTTGGAGGGAAAGCAACCAGCCATGAAACATGGACCACGTCATCCCCAGCCAGCCTTCCTTCCACTCATATTTATCATACAGCTAGCTAGCCCAACAAAATAACTGACACACATAAATAAACACGTCCCGGCTGGCCGCTAATTAATGAAGGGACCTCAATATCCCAGCTTCATGTGGCTTGCATGCGGCAGTGTGCGATATCCATTTCTAATTACATGATACCAGAAACGGCTCTGAGCTGGAATTATTTCATATTTATTTTCAGCAATATATTAACTATGTAAGTGATTTATCCTCATGTTTTAGATTTTCAACCAATTGAATTCACATTTGTTGCATATAGATATTCAACAATTTAGATCTCCTAAATAACATATAAAAACTATATATCTCTTCATATTTTGTACCAGTGACTATGCTGAGATAATTATGTTTACCACTAACTCAAGGCAATTAGTTTATTAAAAATCCAAATATTCATAGCTTATTCCCAGAAGGTAATAACATCAGGAATAACACGCACTAGTTCCCAGGCAGTAATAGTGTTTATGAAAAGGCGGAAATTAATGAAAACATAACTCTTTTTTTCTTCTCCTTTTGATACATTGTTAGCAGTCTATTGATTACGGCCTTGTACATGAACAACAGGTACAATGAGTGGGACTACACGCAGCCACAATGGGGTTGGGGTGTGGTAGAGAAATGAAAACCAATTCAAGGCACCGCAATCATTTATTTCTTTATAATTTGATGTCAGGAGGAGTGTGTGCCTTGGTGATATTTGAAGGACCCTCTTAATACAAACATTTACCCGCTCCGTAATGGCTAAAATGGAAGCGCAAACAAGGTCATGTGTATTCTAGTCTTTTGAAGGCAGGAAAGGAAAAATGCCAATTTCGTCAAGGCCCCACTTAAATCGTTAAGGGAAAGAGAAGGAAACGAAATAACACTGAATAACTAGCTCTCTATATACCCTCATCCCCTTCTCTCCTGTCTATTTCTCTTTCTCTATCAATCAATCTAGCCATTACTTTCTGTATGTCTCTCTCTCTCTCTCTCTCTCTCCCTCCCTCTCTCTCTCTCTCTCTCTCTCTCCCTCTCTCTATCTATCTATCTATAATAATTTCGGGGGGGGGGGGGCTTCAGAATTTGTTCCACTCACTGTTACTTTACCTTAATTTTCATACAACATGTGAAATATGTCGTATCATAAATTCCCTGTTCAATTCTAGCATTCATACATGTATGTTCTACATCACATTGCGAAGGCTGTTCATTGTTAATGAACTGGCATATTGATTAACACATCCATTTATGAGAAACACATTCCAATGTCAGCACAGGTTTTGTGCACAATGTAAACAGTTTTCATTAGCGTATGGGTGCAGAGGTCAATATCAGAATGTCAAAATAACCACAATTACATGAAATTCAGGAATTATGTTCAAGTTGCAATTTTAGATGGTAAAAATTAAAGTCTACTTTTCTAAAAATTTGAACAAAAAAATTGCTTGATACTTCAGTTCACAAAATGTGCAACACCATATCTCTCACAATACAATGAACTTGATTGGAATTTTACAGGGATTCTACGTTAATCACGTATTCAATTTCACTGTGCCGTATTCCAGGCATTTTGGAGGTAATCCGTATGTTACCTACTGCAATATGATAGTCCTACCCACATAAAAATGATCAGTGATCGGATACCGTGAATTCCTACCGTAACTATGGAACTTGATAACAGCCCTCATCATTAGATACACATCCTGTTAGAGCATAGCCTTGTACTTGAATCTCATGTACGTTGTGCAATTCATTGTCTATGAATGTTTTAGGCATCCATAAATCATGCTTTTGTTACAATCAGGGATGCCAGTTAGAATTGACCAGAGGACCTGAAAATCACCTAGAATTACATGTAGCTATTTTGTACACAAAAAAGCTAAAACTATGGTCTGAAACTAACTCACCAGGGCCTGAATTCAGGCTATTGCCTGAAAACTGGCATCCCTGTGCAATGTACCTCTGTTATCCCTATCATGATCATTGCCATCATCAATGTGATCATCAATATCATCGTCATCATCATCGTAAACATCACTATCATCATCATCATCATCATCATCATCATCGTCATCATCATCATCATCATCATCATCGTCGTCAATGTCATCATCATGTCATCACAATCAGTAATCACCACCATAAACAACCACTGCTCACATAATCACTACTACCACCACCACATTGCTGTTCATATATAATGTGGTTAAAAGGAAAGAAAAATGCACTGGAACAATGATCGTACAAGTCATACACCTTGGCAAAAAGTTTTTAGTCTCTTTTTGTCAGTGAAAAAGAGAAAAAGAGGGGGGGAATTGAAATTTACTGTTCTTACCTTGGGATGGGATCTCTTAGGGAACGCCACTTTAGGATCGACCTGGTCAGAGAAAAGAAAAGAAAAGAAAGGAGATAAAGAATTAATTAAAAATATATAAACATCTCTTGATAAATATAACCTGTTATTAAAGCCAGAAACTCTCACAACTTGAAGCTTTCAGGAACTGTACACGCCACGTTTCACAGCAAGATATTTGTAAACAAATTGTTTGAATTCAGTGTTGCATCAGTTGTTATTCGACTATTTCACAGCATGAAAGTGTGTGAATTTTAACAAGCTACAAAATTTGCAAACAATCCGTGCACAGAAAAGTTTCAGGGATTTAAAGTAGTCAAACAGTTGTACAACTAACTATGCTCTGGTGACAAGTGCACCGCAGTCAATATCCTGTGCTAAACAACTTCTTAAAGGTAAAGACCAGTATTGGAAATGCCCCAATTTCAAAAAATGAAATGGAAGCTCTCATTACCAATCATGTGAAAGAATATGTTTTGACTAATACATGATGATACAAAATTTGCCGGGAAACCGCCTATTAATTCATATATTTGGTAAATTTGTTTCTCTCATGGTCTGTGAGAGATATAGGGTAGTCCCATATACATCTTTCTGTGTATAGTGCTTGTAACTTTACGAAGAATGGGCCAAATTTCTTATCATTTTGATGATTCCAGAACCTTGCAGATGCTAGATGCTAGATGATCAACCTTTTCTGATCGATTCCACAACGTTTCTTTCACAATGCAATCGCATGACCATAACTGGTCTTTACCTTTAATTTCAACCTGGACATACACCATACCTAACCCAAACCCTTTGATCAGGGGGGTGTTTCACAAAGACTAAGATCAACTTTAAGTTGGACTTAATTATGGCAGGCCGTTCATGCCACTGGTTGCTCTCACCATTCGTCTCTCAATTATGATCTTCAATAATGAACTATCAAAAAATGTAAATTCTGTAGATTTGTGACGACAATTTGTGCTTCCCTTGAGAAACCAATGCCAATTTAGAGGAAATAGTGGCATGAACGGCCTGCCATAGTTAAGTCCAGCTTAATGTCGATCTTAGTCTTTGTGAAACACCTCCCAGATAAGGTATATCAAAATATATTTCGTAAAAACATCATCATGCCATAATCCACTACTATTCCACCTTTGTAACCTTCAACCAAAATATTTTAGATGTTGGCAGTCAGAAGGGAGCTACTTCCATGTTTAAAATAATGACATTTAACATCCTTCTGGCTCTCAGCAGACAATATCATGGCCCAGAGGTACGTCTTCAATTTGGGAGTGGGACCGAACTGCGATCAAAACAGATCATATTCTTCCAAAAATATACACCTAATCAAAATCTGTACCGGAATGTGCATTGCTTTCCTTCATAATATTACAGTGACGGGTCATATCTGTTTCGGTAGCTGTAGAAATGAAAGAAGCCTGTTCCGCTCCTTAAAAAAACATGGATGAATTAGAATCTGTGTGCTGTGGGATGTGATGTACACTTGCTGGATTTGATTGTTGTGTGTTGTCCATCCTTCTTATCATAAGCCGTTTTTTCAATCGCGCATATCGCAAGCGGGCCAGAGGGTAAAAGGGGATAGGAAAACACGGTTTGATGAATGAGCGTATCAATATCAATGTATAATCAAAAGACGGTACCTTATAAAGGCCTTCTATGCTATCATCTAGAATCCCTATCTCTGCTAACCATTTACATTTACATGTATGCCATCTCAGCAAATTCTCCATTAAACAATCTTATGATATTTCATCTATCCATACGAGTTATTCTTGTGTAATCAGGAAATATGATATCTTCCAGTTAAACTCTCATGTTTTGCATGATATAATGAGCATCAATAGCTATCATATATCCCCATTTCATTCACCCTCGTCCTCTCTCTCTCTCTCTCCTTTTATTTCCACTCAATTTTCATTGTCACTTTTCATCGGCCGTTCGCTCTTCCCCCTTGTTTATCAAGGCTCCCACCGCGTACAAGGAATCCTATTCTAGCTGCCTCGCTCTCAGCTATTTACTCTGAACATGCAACCACGCTGAATCGCGCCAAAGTAATTTCCGTGATTGTTTGGCCCGCGACACCCAAAGGTGCTGGAGCTCCAATCGTGACATCTCGCAGGTAACGGGCTCCGGGTTAAAATGCAACGAGAGCGAGCCCCCCAGGTGAGCCCTCGTTGACGAGACTCCGCCAGGTAAGAGGGCATCCATGTCTTTGCACTAACCGTTAGCCTTTTTCAGATTCACAAGAGAGTATAGAACTCACGGGCAGAGTGATTGAAAGTCAATTCCAGGAAAAATTAAAGACTCCTTTTATTTTGTATAATCCACTTCGAAGATTGTTCTTTTTCTTTAAAAAAGGACTTTAAATAAAACAGTGAAGCTACAAGACTATCGTTTGCATACCACAATTGAAATCTAGTTCAATCCAGTTAAGGATCTCCTCAGAGCACCAAATTAGATTTTCTCTAAAAACATAGGGAAAGAAAATACCCCACTTTCCATCAGAGAAATCATGTAAACCTGTCTTGCCTCTTTCAAAAGATTCCTTAAAATGTACTTCTTCCCTCAGTAACCCAAATGTGATTTTACTTATTTTATGAGTCTATGTATTTTACGTTCCTCTTAATGTTCTGTAATTTTGTAAGCACTATGGATTTAGCACTCCTAAATACTCAATATCATTTATTATCAAACCCCAAATATGCAAGCCTATCAAATTTGAACATGTAGAATAAAATCAAAGTTACAACTGAAATCATGATGTAAATTGAAACTGAAAGTTTTAACTTTCCGACTACAGCATGGAATCTATTGTTACAAAATTTACATTTCCAGGACAACAAACAGAAACCCAGAACATGTTCCTTTTCATTTAAACATGTTCCTTTTCATTTAAACAGGCAGTCTTTTTCATATTAGAACTTCAATTATGAATGAAGTACGTCACTATTTACAACATTACACCGAGGCAAAAAAAAATATTATGGAGGTTAGTTCAACATCATCATCTGCACCTTCCATGCATGTACATGTATGTATTATACTCCGTGGTTAATAATGGGGGAAATATGAGCGCTTCAAAACTAATTAATGAAATGTTTTCTTTTTGGATTGCTAGAGAAATATTTGGATGGTTTCCTGGTTAGTTGTATATACAACAATGAGTCATTATTAACACTTCACACAGACAAGTGGGCATTTTTTTTCTTTCTCAAGTACTTCATAAAACCAAGTAATGAACTTCTTGATTCTCTCTCTTCCGAGTCAAGATACATTATACTCAATCACAAGAAGTCATATTCCCACAAATTGTGCATGCTTAGTTGCTTTCCTTATGCGGTTATACTCTACAAGGAATTAAAATCTTTCACGCATAATTTTGACTATTGTGTTTCTTCACAATCTGAACGGTAATCGGTTTTGTTTACGTGGAAAGCCACATGTAAATGCAATAAAGCTCAATGTCAGTTTTTTTTCTCAACCCTGATTCTTAATTAAGGCAAAATCTTTTTTCATTTCGAGACAGGTTTTTAGAAAATACCAGGTAACAGATGGAGATATCCTTTGTATTGCACCATTGTTTGCTCAACACCATATTAAACAAGCTTTAATGAAGAAAGAAAAAAAAAACATTTTACATGTGTGTAGCAGCTTGTTTCCTGGTTCGGTACCGTTCAAACTGCCACACGACACAGTTCAGTTTCCAACGCACAATTCTGTGTTTAGACTGTGCACATTGGCACACACAGAGAGGGGTTGCGCACCACATTTCTAGCTGGATATTGAGAGTGGTCCCTGATCGGCATGGCCAATGGGATTGGTGGTATCTATGTTAACGACTGAAGAAGGGAAAGACAAAGCAATGCTTCATACTTCCTGTTTTCATACCATGACATTATAATACAAAATTTAAATGCCTGTATCTCAGCGAAAAATGCACACATACTTATCAATACACTTTACTCAGCTTACAAATTTAGGAACTTTTTAGCATTTGGCAAGAAATGAAAGAGGTTGATTCATGCATACCTGTACATGCCAGAAAAAGAACCTGAAAGAGAGGACAGCCTCTCTTTTTTGGAATCTTTATTTCTATTTTCACTTTGTAACTGTGACTAACGGATTGATTATCTCCAAACCTTTGTTTGTTTAAATGTAAACAGATTCTCTTCATTTCCTTTCATTGGCTATCATGGGCATCGTTTCATGAAACCGTCATGAAGTGTACAAGTTCACAGAAATCCCATTGAAACGTGCTTATTACAATTAACACGCATTTCAATGGCAATATCAGCAAACTTGTAATTGAGCTTGTATGAGGTTTTCATGAAAATAACACCTTGCTTTGCATAATAGCCCAAAAAGTAACTGCCTTTGTCAAGTGTATGCTAGAAGTGAATTACCAGTTTCGATATGCACATCCTGGTAACCACAGTATATACACAACCAAACAGATATTACATGAATTTAGTAAAGAGAGCCATCAAAGACAACTGTTTCCCTAAGCAAAGATCATGTTTCTCTTGAATTTTGAACAGTGCTAGCTGAACTAGATTTCCAATCGAATCTGGTTTCTGAGCAAGAATCCTGATCTATCAGAGGGCACCAAGAGTTGTAATTCCTACCAATCTGTGCGTGCGTGTCTAATACAGTCATACCTGCCGAGCCATCTCTCGTCAGAAAGATTCGTTTTCAAACCAGATGGTGTGTGTATGCGTGTACTAGTAGTAGTAGTAGTCTAGAACCTAACCCATTAGCCCTAGTAAACATTATTCCTAGTTTCCCATCCACTTTAAATTTTGAAAGAAACAAGGATCAGTTTATTTCATATCTGATATTAGTGCAACCCATAAATATGGTCCAAGGTAAATTTCAACACAAATTTTCAAAACAAAATTTTAATTAATCAATGCAATACAGATGCTCAACATAAGGTCCAATTGCATTAATCAAATGATTATTTTTTCCTCCATTACTTCATTGCCTAAAATTGTCTCTCATATCCAACATAATGA